GTAATGACAGTAAATTTTTTATTTAAATAAAGTCTCGCATTTAATGCTCGTTCGCGATAAAAAAAAAAAAAAAAAAAGATTAATCTTGTTCTGAAGATTTAAACGAGCTAAAATACATAATAAAAGAATGCATTATTAAAGAGTAACATGCATTAGAAGATATAAAATGATTTTGTTGACAAATAAAATTATAGGCAAATTTGCTTACAATACAGTTTAAGGAATAATATTACATTCTTATCCATCATTTATAGACATAACAGATTATAATTGGTATGTCAATCTTTCTGATTTGTCCCCCGTGATTAATAGATAATTTGAAAATAGCCTACAGAAAACAAATAGATACTGTACGTAAGATCTCATATGTATAAAAAAAAAATGTAACAATGATGTAATGTTTCATTATGTAATACCAAAAATCTCTAAAAATTGAAACACTGCTAAATAAAATGGCCATACTACATAATATTATATATCTCTACTCATTCGTACATTTCTCTATGATCTTTGCTAATGCTCGATCATCGATTGAAATTTATTTGTACAAACCTACTTATATTGTTTTTTAATTTTATATCGTCATTATGAGATCAAAATTATTTTATTTTGTGATGATCTAATGATTTAGATCAGTAATAAATCAAATAGACCCACGGTTCTTATCGGTATTATGGGTCAGGTCAAGACCCGCAGTTCTTACAGTTCCGACCTGACCTATTACAACACTAATTCCGGGTACGCAATTTTCTCGTAAAGTCTCACTCACATAAAAGAGAATTTTGTAAGTTGTTTAAAGATAAGAGCATAGAGATTAATAATGAAATAATAATCAAATGATTCGCGGATGAGAAAATTTTCTGGTTTTCTTCCTCTAATATTCTTTATCGCGAAAAAACGAATAGACAAATTATATATACTGTATATAGCGCCCCAAACCAAGAAAAAAAGCGTAATTAATTGTTTTGTTGATGGTTACGCGACTATAGTGAAGTATATAACCTGTTATGGGAAACAAGAATTCCACGTTCGTCATTTCATTTACTAATCAATTCCTCTCGAGTTTATAAACTACAAACGATAAACGTGATACTGTAATTATTTTTAAGCAGATTTTGCAATTCATTTTTTTAATCCCAAAATTAGATATCGATATGCATGTTTGACAAATTGAATTTTTGCTCCAAAATTGGATATCATTTCCAGTAATCTATATTTTTGTTCCAGAATTGGATATCGGTATGTATGTTTGACAAAAATTTTAAATTTCTTTATACAGTATATATAAGTAAGCAAACGAGTAAATATTTTTTTATATTTATCTTTCAAAGAAAAAAAGAGAAACATGAAAGAAACTTTGCCAGACTCAGGTATTCGATTATGAAATAATATAGTCCGTGCAATTACGGAATATGTAATATAATTTGGATACTGCAAGAGCTAATTAATGTACTGTAAATGAGTCAGTTGACTATCATTTGACGTCATGAGAATCAGTTAATTTAGTATTTTGTCCTTGATAGATTTTAAAAGTATTGAGATAGAACAAAAAATATTATTTGTGTTTTTATACCTCTAAGACTAATATTTAATTAACGACCTAGTAGTTAATTCCCTTGCGTCAGTTGATAAAGTAATTTTACTTTAACATCTGCTAAAGAAAACGTTGAACCTGATACATTTAATCTTACAGACAACCTTAACTCTTCCAATGGTTCTATGAGAGTAGAAAGTTTGAATGCAATTAATTACACCGATAGCTCTGAAACTCCTTCAAATGATCCTGTGAGTATAGTTGCCGTCCAAACTAGATATGGAAAGTTCCAAATCCCAAACTTATTTGGACAATATTTTGTCCCAAATTCCAATTATGTCATTTAGGACAAACCCAATCCCATATACGTCCCAAATCCCATATGCGTCCCAAATCCCATATGTGTCCCAAATCCCATATGTGTCCCAAATCCCATATGTGTCCCAAATCCCATATGCGTCCCAAATCCTATATATGTTCCAAATCCCAAATATATTTATTAAAAACAGTTGGCCGATAAAATTTTAATCTACTAAACAAAAGTAAAAAATTTGTGTAAAAAAAAAAAAATAAATTTTATTCTAAATCTGCATTATCTAACATTGTATCAATATCAAATTCTGTTGTTCCGTGATCAATTTCTTCCTCCTTTTCTTGATCAAAACCTTCAAAATTATCTATAACAGAATTAATATCAACAATAGTTTCAAGTATTAAATTTGTATTACTAAAAGATAAATCCATTTCAACATTAGATATTGTAGTTTCTAATTTGTCTTCATTTTCTTCATATATAAACATATCGGATTCGGTAAACATTGCATAAGCCATATCAGTCATTATATTTTCCATCTTTTCATCGGATATTTCTTGTTCAATAAAATTAAGTTCACTAGTTGCATTTGAAATATAAAAAGAATGTATTTGTGCCATAGCACTTAAACGATCAATATTTAATCTATAAAAATTATAAAAATTAATTTAAAAATTAAAAAATTAAAAAAAAAATTAAATTATTGAAAATAAATTTACCTGTTTCGACGTTTTTGAGTCATCCAGTTAAGAATAGAAAAGACCCGTTCACAAGATGCTTGGTGAGGAACTATAGCTAAGATTTTTAATGCTAATTTTTGAATATAATTATTTTTTTGATCGATAAAATTCCACCAACTTTGTAAAGAAAAATTATGAAAATCAAATAAAATATTGTAAGGTTCTTCTTGTTGTTTATAAGAAGTCATTTGACTTAAAAGTTGAGAACTACTACGTTCACCCCCTTCCATTTTTATCCAAAGTGAAAGTGCAGTATAACAAATTCTATGAAAAACACCTGGTTGTAATCCTTTTGCTAATAAATATAAAAATATTATTAATATTAATATATTTATATTAATATAATAAATAAATAAAATACCAACCTCGATAAAATGGATGAAAAAAATAACTCAAAAGAAAAAGATCTATATCAAATTCTGCCCATCGACGATTATATACTGTATATTAATACATATTTTTTTAAAATCCAAGTTTTGTATATTCGGAAGTTCTTTAATTGCTTGAGCCATTTTTAATAATTCAATAAATACTGATGCTAATGTTGCAGTTTTATATTCAACACCTTTCAAAGCTTGTTTGGGAGGATTTAATACATTTCGAAGTTGTTCTGTATCAATCCAAAATTGTCGATTATTGATAATCGCTTTGACTTCTTTAGCTTTATTAAAAATTTCTGGTTGATTTTCAAGAACCTTTTAAATAAATATAATAAAAAGTTAAAAAAGTTTATTTTATAATAAAATACAATAATAATAATGATAATTACTGCTTTAATTGCAATTTTGCATCTTAAAATTGATTCTGTACAATCCCATGCTGTTGACCAACATGTTTTAATTGATGTTTTTAATCCTCCACCTGCTATAAAATTTTTAATCAATTCTTCTCTAAGAGCTGCACCTGCACGATATGCCATTCTAAAATAATTAATTATTTTTTGGCATTTTGATAAAGTATCTTTAGCAAATTTTACATTAATAATATCTGATGTAATTAAATTTATTAAATGAGCAATACATCGAATTAATATAATTGAAGGATATTTAGAACTAATTAATTTTGTTGCTAATTGCATTGCTGATTCTCCATTTGCAACAACGGCTGCAAATTTTGTTATTCCAATTTCGTTAATAATTTCTTCAATTTTACTAACATTAAATTTTCCAGTATGACTTTGATCTGATACATCGCAAATAGAATGTATATACTGTTTTCATTGAGAAGTAATAAGTATAATAGCATATATTGAATGCCCATGTTGATCGGACCACCCATCAATAGCTATATTTAAAACAAATAAATATTTAAGTGTTATTTAAATATTATTTAATAAAATATAAAGATAAAATTCTTACCTAAAGTTAAATTTTTTGCATTTTTTAACTCTTGTTTTATTTCTAATGATACTTTTGCAATTTCATGATTAAGAATTGTTTCTGATAACATTGTTTTTCCAGGCAAATCATAATTATAACATAAAGATTTTACAAAATCTTTAAAAAAAGGATAATCGACCACATGAAAAGGAATTCCACAACAGATAAAAAATCTAATTAATGCTGTATGACATCGAGCTATTTTGCTTTTATCGATTGAAATATCATCATTAAGTTGTTCTATTTTATCATCTAACTTTCTTTTGCGAGTTGCTGGTAATGGTTTGCCTCTTATACTTTCAAGAGTTTCAGTTCGAATATTTGAAGGAACTTTTGTACAAAGACGTGCAAGATGGTTTTCCATTTGTATAGGTTTTCCTCGCTTCCAAGTTTTGTTACAGTAGTTGCATTTAGCGCCAGAATGAATATCATTGGGTTTTTTAATTTCAATAAAGTGTTTCCAAATAGTAAATTTAAGACGACCGCCTTTGTTTTTACTATTTGAAACAGAATTTGAGCTTTGCGATTGTATATCTTCAATAATAGTCTCATTATCGAAACTAAATTCAGACATTTTAAATTTATTAAGAATAATAGCTAAAAAAAAATTAATATTGGAAAAATTCATCTTACGTAACTAATCTTACAAATTATGTCATAATTAATCTTACAAATTATGTCATAATTAATCTTACAAATTATGTTATAATTAATCTTACAAATTATGTCATAACTAATTTTTAAACTTTTTTTTAATAATTATTACATAAAAAAACATAAACTTTTCATTTAATAACGGTTATCCTATAATAAGACTATATCAAAATAAAAATATTTTATAAATTGACTTTTTTATTATGTAGTTTAGACCTTTATCCCAAATAATACAAATATAGTTAATACCAAATTATGTCCCAAAGTCCCAAACCTTGAAGGTTTAGACGGCAACTATAACTAAAAGTAAAGAATATAACTGAGATTAATTAAACTACCTATGATATACTGTAAATTTACTCAACAAATATTAATGATAATATGCTTACCGTCTGTAATAGTAGTTAAAGTAAAGAATATAACTCAGATCAATTAAATCACCTATAATATGAATTTACTCAACAAATATTAATGAAAATATGCTTACCTCCTAAAAGTTAAGAATATAACTCAGATCAATATGATATGAATTTAATCAACAAATATTAATGAAAATATGCTTACCGTCTGTAATCGTAGTTAAAGTAAAGATTATAACTCAGATCAATTAAATCACCTATGATATGAATTTACTCAACAAATATTAATGAAATATGCTTACTCGCTAAAAGTAAAGAATATAACTCAGATCAATTAAACCACTTATGATATGAATTTACTCTACAGATATTAATGAAAATATGCTAACCGTCTGTAATCGTGGTTAAAGTAAAGATTATAACCCAGATCATTAAAACACCTTGACAGAAATTTCAACAAATACTGTATTAACAGAAATCTCAACTAGTTAATAACATCACCTAATGATGCCTTAATCATTTTTTCGGTAAAATCCATTATTAATGACAAATTCATAAATATAATAAAAAGTGATAGCGACGCAATGTATTATGCAATATCTTGCTTGTTATACTGAACACAAAAAATCTGAGAAGACGAAGTCCGATATACTAAAATTAAAAGTTAATATGTGGGTGATGAAATTGAAATTAAATTTTTAAGTTTTTTTTTGTGTTCCGGGGTTTTGGTTTTTGTTTTTGGGGGGTTTTGATTTTTTTTCAGGATTTTGTTTGAATTTCGGATTTTGTTTTTTTTCAGGTTTCGGATTTCAGATTTCGGATTTCAGTTTTTTTCTGATTTCAGTTTTTTTTTTAATTTAATTAATATAAAGTTTAATTTTCCATTTTTTCTTAAATTAAATCAAATTATGTCATTAAATAAAATAAGCTTGATTTAGATTTTTCTGTTTTTCTTAAATTATATCATTAAATAAATTATGTCATTAAATAAAATAAGCTTAATTTGTATTTTTCTTTTTTTTTTTAATGTAGGTAAACACCATTTCTTTATTTATTTGTATATAGCAGGGATACATGGAAAAAACAACATCTCTCACATGCATCTTGTAGTAAGTTAAATGCTAGCTTGCTTACAGTAATTGCTTAACTTCTACTAGAAAAGACATTTTAAACTAGTGTACTAATTAAATGATGCCAAGCAGCTGTGGATACCTACTTAGAGTTTTGGGAAGTACTGTTATGATAGTTAGAAATAAAATTATATATTGTTATCGGCTATGGTGAGTCTGTCGCTAATCTGAAGCTAAGGCTCACGTAACGATAAGGAGTAGGGGTCTTGTATCGTTTGCACACCAAAGGTACATATTAATAAGCTTCCTTCTCCTGTATTGCCGGCCTAATCCTCTATCACAATTCTATGTGGGCTTCTAGAATTCTTTCAATGGCGAATAACTAATTAAGGCAAGTTTATTAATTATGTATCTCAAGGTATAGCAAGTTGGGTTTATTGATTAAGCGATTCTTATCTTTTATTAGGAAGATACATTTCTATTGCATATAATTCTATGGCTATTTATATAAGAGGCGACGCGTCTTCCCCAGCTGCGACGCATCCTGCAGACCCACTGATGCATAAAGTGATGCATCAGGTGTTGTGCGCCATACCCTGGGCTCTCATACTCTATTCTACTATTCGTGCCTAAAAGTACTGACTATACTACATTTTCACATGCTAACAATATATATTTAGAGTAATTAAAGTTGCTTTGAATAAATGTTTCTGTAACAAGAGTTGGAATATTAATTATAGTGCTGTCAGAAATTGAGATATTGTCATTAGAGAGGGAGTTATTTTTTTGTGTTCTTTTGTTATTGACAATATTGTTATTGTTATTATTATTGATAGAGGTGTTGATATTATTGACTTATATTGTTGCCGTTGTTGATATTGTTATTATTATTACTGTTTTTTTTTTTTGCGATTTTTGTTCCATTTGATATCAGTAGTGGGTGCAGTATTTGCTGTACTGCATTGGGGTTTCCAAATGTGATTGTAGGAGAATGTAAGAGCTTTGGTGAATGCTTAAATCCATTTGTGTTGTTGGCATAAAAATTGTACATTTTTATATAGATAGTTATAGGCATTTTTATAATTTGTATAGTAATTTAGACTTTGGCATAACATGTCATCACTGATGTATCAATTTATGCATCAGCTGGCTACAGGATGCATCATGGATAGGAATAGACATGTCGGCACTACTATAAATAATAATAGATTGCTGGCGATAGGAATAAGAAAAATTGAACAAGAGACCCATACCTGTGATACCATAAGATAGGCAAAGACAATATAATATTGAATAAACTTGTAATTGCATCAATATAATTAATAAACTTGTCTTAATTAATACTTGCCACTGTAGAATCTTGAGGGACTGCAAGGGCTTGTGGTATAAATTAGAATAGCACCTAAAGATGAGTTTATTAATAAATATCTTTTATATGCAAGCGATTCAAGACCCCTATCCATATCAATATGCAAGCCTGAGCTTCAGATTAGCAATAGACTCACTGTACCCAGTAACAATGTACATCAGATATAAAAAAAATGCCAGTTGTGATTCTATAGGCAAGTCCTAATACCTGTTGTACATTTGATAGTAGACTATTACTGCTGTTTAGATAAAGAATATTAATTTGTATTTTTCTGTTTTTTCTTAAATTAAATTATTAAATAAATTATATTATTAAATAAAATAAATATAAATTTGTATTTTTTTAATTTAGCTGAAATTTTTTAATTATAATATTAAATAATTTATAGTATATCATTAAATTTTAATTTTATTAATTAAATAAATTATGTTATAAAACAAATTAGTTAATATTATTATTAATATATAATGAGTCTGTCACTAATTCGAAGCTAAGGCTTATATAATTATAATAATAGAGGTCTTGGGTCACTTGATTAACCAAAGGTACATGTTAATAGATTTTCTTCTTATATATTGTCATATAATTCTCTACCACAATTCTCTATAATCTATAGGATCCTTATAGCAACCAATATTCTTTTCAAAATATATATATTAATTGTATATTATTAGTACAAATGGTATGGCTTTTCAAATAATATCTTATCTTTTATTGTGCCTTTATTTACTATTATTGTTACTGTCTCTACTTTTACTAATCAATTCTTATTGTATTTATTCTGTTTGTATTATATCTATTGTTGTTCTCAACGGTGAGTCTGTCGCTAATCCAGTCCAAGACTCATACAACATTGGAAGAGTGGGTCTATGTCGCTGGCGATACCAAAGGTACGTGTGGTGATAATTATCCTTATCTTCCTTTTCTTTAGGTTGATTCCTCTTTCAATTCTTTGCTGCCAAACTGCAGGGCTTGTGGATTCTTTTTAGGATAACTTAAAAACAAATAAGGTAAGTTTGTTAATTATCGTTGCACTAGCACACAATTGGATTTTTATTAATTTGTTATTTTATTGCACCTATCACAGCTTTTTCATTATAATCGGATATCATTGCTATTTATACATGATTGCGACACATCTCTAAATCTATCATCGCGTCATGCAGAATTACTAAACTTCGACAAACTCTGTACCCATCGGTCATGCATAATTGATGCATGATTGATCCCCCATGCAGTACTGCACCGGGCCCCTCATGTTGCATCATGCCCCTTACTACAATTTTTATGCTAACACTATTAATCTACCATTACATTATGCAAATTAAACTTTTGGCTATTTTAACTTCTATATTCTTGATCTGCTGCATCATGTCAAGTTACATGACTGTCAGTGATCCAGATTGATCCATACATTTTTTTTTGCTAATAATATATAATTATATTATTTTTTTTTAAATCTTCGGCCAGGCTAAATTCACTATACTTTATTAAATTTATTCTTTGAATACATTTCTGCACTATGAAATAAATTTTGTTATATAATATATATGATGAAAGTTATCTATAATAGTGGCTTGTAATGCCAGAGCTTGTCTCTAATTCCCTTGGGATATAGCTACAGAGGCTCAAACCAGTGTGCCTAAGCTATACTGGTGATTTTAAATAATTTATGTTATTGTACATATTAGTTCTATTTCTAACCGTGAATATTTTTTAAGGGGAGGATAAAAGAGGAATGGGGGTAGTATCTATTGTAGCAAATAGAACCAGTAGCAGAAAGAGACACCAGGTATCACAGGAGAGGGATCACCAAACTATCTTGATCGAAAAAGAATGCCTTTCTTCACCTTATTAACCTCTTCCAACAATCATCATAGTACCAACCAGATAATCGTTGCGCCACAACACCTTTTCTAGATATCACAATCTTAATACCTACTGGATCGGCATGTAAATTGGCTTCTTATAAGAAATGGCGCTTTAGCAGATCATGGCGCCAGATACTATATTAATTCTATTCAACCACCTTTACCTGAAGTTGAACTGGTATCTTGTGATCAGACCTATGGAGTACTGACCACTGTGCTATAGACCCACAGGTCTATATAATTATATATAT